AAGACTGAGGGCAGTTTTCACTACACAAATCAAAATGAAGCTTGTTGAACGTAGTAGATTCACCCTTCTTCTATTACCCTCTCTGAATTACTCAATCTAAGACTGACAGGAATTCTGGGATATCTGCAACTAATACTCACCCTCGTCTTCGAACTTTGGAGTGTTTGTCAATTTAGCATTCAAGCATGTTTTCATCTCACAAGCACTGTAAATAATATTCTTTGATATTATTTCAGGGCCCTTCTCGTTCTAAAAGCAAAGATTCGTTACTGGAATCAGAGAGTCAGTTCATTGCAGTGGACGATCCTGCTATCCCTGCATCAAAGACAGACCTTCAGCCAAGGCAGCCATCGGCCAGAGAAAGACGAAGATGGAAACAACTAGAAGAAATGGCTAAAGAACCTAAGGTTGGTGTGTCAGTCATCATACATCAGTCAGTTAAACCAGGAATAGCCTGGATTTTACTGTKGATTWCCCGGGGATTTGACGCTTTTAAACTGGGGTGGAACGGGTTTAACAGCTTGTTTGCCATCACAACAAGGCAAGAAATATCCTTTACTTGAGAATTTAGCGTGATATGACATATTATTTGTGGTTGATGGGTGTGGCCTTTTATATCAATGTCTGTTATTTTACATACATAGAATATCTTGTAAACATAAACCATATAAAATAGTGTTAGCTAAGGCCACTGTACTTTATTATCAATAAAACAGTTTAGAAAGAATCAGCTTAGCTATATCTCGAGCACGAATTGGAATCTGTTGATCCATCGAACTGTCCATACCYACTGATTTTGTTTGTGTGTCACTAGCCTTATGATACTTACAAACCACCAACYCCAGGAGGTTTCTCTCTCAATTCTGTAACAAGTTTTAACGTCGATGAAGTCGCAACTAAGAATGAGGAGAGACTAAAACGACTGCAAGCGATTCAACGTGCTGGTGGTGGTGGCGGTGGGTCAAATCCTGATGATGTCTTGAAACAGTTTATGAGTGAAAGAGGGTATGTTTATTTTGGAGTTTTTATCATATTTATATTTGAAAATTAGAAAAAGACAAAAGTATGTTGTTGTTTTTTTATTTTTACAGTCGACCACTAACAAGAACGTCAGAGGCATCTCTAGAAGCAGAATCAAGCTATGAACCTGTATTAAATTATTAGATTTCAGTCATATTATATCAAGATGGAATTTAGAGTCGTTTTCATTAACCCATGAAACACACTTTAGCGTATTTATCGCTATTACACTTTGGCTCTTTTGATTTTTTTTTTTTTTTTTTTTTTTTTTGTCTCTACCCGACTATTACGATCTATTACACTCTGATTATTACACTTTGTTTCATGGGTTTATGAAAACCACTCTATAACGCAAAATTATTTATTGTAATACGCGCTTGCATTGATTAATTTCAGTGGCTGGTTGAGCTGAGGTAGTGTCTAATGTATTTTGTTTTTAATGTGGAGATTTCTATGGCGGCTGTTCCTCGGCTTTTGAAATCTCTATGTAAACTCGTCTCTTATTTTAATGTAAATAATGTATGGTAAAATCAACGTTAAACACAAATATATATGAATAGTAATAGATTTGATTCTCCGACATCAGAATATTAATATGGTATTTTTCGTTTGTCTTCGACAAACAGAGGTTTTAGAGTCATTGCATACAACCCGTGAAATAGTAAATATACTATTAGTTAGTAGAAGCAGTTTTAGCATTACTCACTAATAATTATTGTTTCACGTGTTACATGTAGTGATTAAAGAACACGTACTCATAATGGGAATTGTTTGGAAACCTTTTGTTGTACTTTTTTTCTACGTATTTAGATGTTGATTCAGTCAAGACCATGTACAACGTTTTTCTTACGGACGATGGAAATTACAAAATGAGTGAACATAAACACTCTCTATGGGATGATGAAATGAAATATTTCAATATTGGTTAAAATGTTTTGTGCATTTTGAAGAAATAGCCAAAATAAATAATTTTCGCTCTGTTCATTCAGATGTGACCAGTATGGCTAAAACAATAGAACAATAGTTAAACAAAAGATTGTGTACGGTTGGGAAAAAAAACTACAACAAAAGGCTTCCTGACCATTTCCTCTATAAACTACGATAAAATAGACTAAAGTTACGAAAGCTAACAATGTCAGTAAACGTAATGATAGATAACTGTAACAGAATAACAATTATGATGATGTTAATAATCTTTATATAGTTCACATCGCTCATCTCTCGTTTGAGAGCAATTTTAGGAAAGTCGAGTGCTTTTCACAGCTGTTCGTCCTGGTATAAAACTGTTTCTGTTTTTACATTTTATTTCTACATTGAATAAAGAGTCTTTCTGGTATAACAACATTTTAAGCCTCTCTTTTTTTTAAATGAACTTGTCATAAAGAGAGAAGAGAATTGGCACGTCTCTGATAGGGTTACTGCTGTGATCCTACTATTGTTGTATAAAATACTGTGTTATTTAAAGCCATTGAAGTCCTTCAGTCAATAGACCTCCTACCTATAGTAGTATTAACTCTTTCTTCTCTTATTAAAGCTGGAAGTCTTGGTTTCTCAAATTTATGTGAATGACGTTTGTGAAGTCTATGTTGCAAAAGATAGTCGAAAAGCTCGTCACCAGTGCACCTGTGGCAAGTTCGCAGGGTGATGGACTGATAACGAGCACGTAGAACATGTGCCGAAGCCTTTGGCTGTCGCTGTCTTGTTAGAACGCCTTTGTGATTTTGACCTCCAATTCTTTTGATAGCTTTGAAATGAACAGTTATGTACGAATGTCAGTTATTGAAGGTTTCAGACAAACTGAATGATTTGACTTTTTCAATTTCAAATCCCAAGAATTTAGCCAACTATTTGAGAATTCGAGCTAATGGTACTTACATTCTGGGGTTGCGAAGTCTGCAAATGACCAAATCATTTCTCCTATCAAATAATGATATCGCAGCCTATCGAAAACTGGGAAGTAGTGCTTCATAACGTCAACCTGTGTACAATAAAGAAAATGTTACAAATCTTTTTTATTATTATTGACTATTTGTACGAATAAGGTGTTCGCCGCGTAGGCTTGCCGGTAAGCATATAGGCCCCAGCAGCACATATGGCAGTACATATACAGTGTTATGGACATTTGAAAAAGGGATGTCAAAAATAAAACAAACATTATTACAAACTATGCAAAAACTGCAATAAAAAGGAAAAAATTGTTGGTAAACAGAGAGTACGCAATAAAATTTGGGTAGGAATGAAAGTACGCAAAGTATTGTGGTCTTGGTATTAAAATGACGCGATCGGACAAATCATACACTTTCGTCCAGGCCACAGTAATATGCTGTTGCGAACCAATCACAGCGGCGTTAAAGACCATTTCGTCAATCAGGGCTGCTCAAGGTAAAGAATAGGCGATATGCATTATGGCGTCATTTACTACAACTACCAGAATGCTTTGCCAACTTTCTTTTGTAATGCAATTAGTGCCAATTGTTTTATTAATCTCCAAGGGGATTAAAAATCTGAATAACAATGAAAATGCGCAAGGCTCTCTGGTTGTTGTAGTAAAGTTACGTCATAATGCAAACGGCCTATTCAAACCAACCTGGTATTCTTCTGTATACATTATGGAGGGTTCCTGTAAATCAAAGAAGTAACGGTTAAGTGATTGTCTATTTTGTGAATGTTTGAACTATTTCTTTGCTGTGTTGTTTTTTGTTTACGGTTTTCTCTTGTATGTCACTTATTTGGCATGAAGTCCAAAACTCAAGTGGAGTACGCAAAGTTACAAATTGAAGTTAACTTGATTTTCCCTCGCTCTGCCAAGTTTAGATGACGCCAAGAGTTTGTAAATATATGGGAGCTGTGCAGTATTGTTTTTTTTTTTATCATATTTAACTCTAATCAATTTGTTAATAGAGTTTGCTGTGATTATATAATATGTAGCAGCTAGCGACGGATGAGTGGAGAAAGTAAATTAGATTGCAAGATACAAATGTGAACGCGCGTAGTACATTACAAGTATTTTGATAAAATCCACTGCTTATAACTATCATTTCTTGATCTCTAAGAAATTCACTGTATATCTTTCAACGTCTCCACCTTCCTGATATTGTGTTTTGAAGCAACATCCGAGTTGCGTCCTGCCTGGTGCTGAGAAGTGAGTTTCAATAAAACCAACAACTAGCTGATAGAATAAAGGTCAACATCCATCGTTTTAATTCATTACCCTGTGTAAACCTGCGAGAGCCTCGGCACCATATTCTGTTATTAGCACGGGCTTCCCGTATCTGCAGAACCATTCTTCCATTTCCCATTCTAGGGTGTTGGATATTTTTGGCGTTTTACCTGGAAACGTGTACCAGCCATAGTAACGGTTGAACGATATTACATCACAGTACTTGGACTGTACGAGATAAGACGAGAAAATAAGGTTTCATTCATTATTGATGCTACGATCAGCATTTYATACAGGATCAGAGATGCGGATTTTATCTTCAAGTGTCGAAAAGATCTCTKACGAGAAGATAAAATTCGTATTCCAAGCGATCGTGTAATATTCTGTTTATCATATAATTACATATMAAAGCAAACTATGTCGTAAAATACCTCTTTTTTCTTACTATAGAGAAACCTTCGATTGTGTTATTTTCACAACTTTACGTGGAGAAATTATATGATAATGTAGATTATTTTCCTATAAATGGTTATTGTTGTTTCTATAATCACTGTCATGATTACTATAACCATTATTATACTGAAAACAACATTGTGGCTATCATCCAACCAGAAATTGGGTCTAGTTCTTAACAGTAAATAGAATAGTAGTACTGACAAGCATACCGCCATCTCCTGTTTCTCTGCATCGTACGGGGTCTGGTTGGTGACAAACGTTACAGGTCTTTGTTGAATGTCTTCTTCTTTGGTAAAACTTATTATCTTTCTTTGTTATTAAATTGAAAAGTAAAAATTGTTGACTTCATCAATAATTGTAATATTTTTTTAGAATTATAGTATGCTCTATATTGGTTTTCAAAATATTAAAACAGGGTATGATAACCAAAAGAAAAACAGCATAACACAACTGTCGACGAGTCTTCCTGCACTACCCTGAACCAAAAAGCGTACCATTACTATTCACTAACGACTATCAATTTTAACAAAAACTTCATTATTATGACCACATTTGAAAAAGATTTCTTCAATAGCCCCACCCCCTGAACTCCTACAATGGTCACCATCACAACCTGCCATGATGGAGGGGATTCTAATCTCATATGGTCTGTATGAATAATAATGAGATGAATAATACCTCAAGTAATCAGCCACGTGTTCGTAGTGAGATATCGGTTCATTAGCCACTGACCACATGACCACCGAAGGATGATTTTTATCCCTTTGKATCAATTCTTCCATTATCCTTAAGTGGAGTTCAAATGTATGGTTGTTAAAGTACTCTCTGAAATAAAACAAGAAAACTGTATATCACTGTACTAGTTATAGTCCGGGTTTAACAGTATGCCGTGGAAGTATGGGGTTAGTTGTGGACGCCGTTACAGCCCCCTCATATAGATCTAATATTTCATTCCCAATTTCTTTTTGTATGATACACGTGCAGCCATATAAGTATTTCCAAGAGGCTAGACCTAATATAAACTCATCRATTTGCAGCGTTTGATTTCAGACAATTCCCAYATGGTGTAGTTTTGAAACCTAATGAAAAGATCGACATTTTTTACGCCCTTGCTCCACCCTTGACCCCCTTACTACATGTAACTTACAGTTTAGATAACCCAACAGCAGGACACTCATCGATGACAACAAAACCGAGTTCGTCCGCTAAGTTCATCGTCTCTTCTGAATATGGATAGTGACTTGTGCGAAATGAGTTCGCACCAAACCATTTCAATAGGTTGAAATCCTTTACTAGCGTTGGAAGATCAAACCCTCGACCACGAAACTGAAAGTACAAAGACGCGCAATAGGTTTTATAACCTATTAACAATCTTAAAAGATTGTTGGCTGAGGTAGAAGAGAGTGACTGCATAGTTAGAAATGGATAGTACGAAGTGATCTGTAATCTTTGAGGCTGCTGAGAAAACTCTTTTGAAATAAGCGAAATGGAGCCGCCATAATTTAACACGATGAAGGTTGCAGGGGCGGATCCAAGAGGGGTGACAGGGAGGCGCGCGCCCCGTTTTACGAAAGTCCTGCTGAAATAAATATATCCACCAAATATCCACCTTGTTGACGAAATTATTACTTTCGGACGTAAAGAAATGATATTAATAATTATGTCAATGGCGAGTGTTCTTTTTTCTAGAGTTTCTTTTTAAACATGGAAGATTGACTTACAGCAAAGGTTATCATACTTACATCAGCATCTTCGTGTTTGCCTAATCCTTTGAAATAAAAAGGCGCATCGTTGATCAAAAACCGTGTCTTCAGTAGTCGAATTGATCGTATTCCTACAGGAAGTCGGTAAACATCTTGAGTCGTATTAGTWATGGTCGTTATCTGARGTGAGAAAACATGAAATATTGGCTCTGAGTATCGCTYATGAAGGATCGCTYAAGAAAGAATGCCTACACATTGTCAACAAATGGAGATTGTTACATCACTACAGAAACAAGGTCCGAGAAATGCTGTGGACGAAAAGTGTTGTAACTTTGAGAAAGAAGCAGTTCTAACCTGAAGGGTGTAAAGATATGCGGGTTTATACCCCATTCCTATTGGCCACCACAATGACGGGTTAGTTACCCGTAGCTGTCCTTCAAGCAGTCCTGTTCCACCAACAGTCGTTACCAGTCTTCTATTATGATCTAGCAGTTCATAAAGCATGGTAATGCCGCGATCATACACTTGGTGGCCAGCAGTATTAGACACGGAAGCAAAGAACTTTACAATGCCTGCGTCGTACAAATAGTCGGTTGCTATACTAATGTCAGATAGGAAGACTGGTGGGGTGGTGTAGAGGATCACAGAACGGTGAATTCCGGCGTAGTTGAAAAAGTCAAAACTGTATTTTTGACTGGCGATGTAGTCTCTGAGAAAATCAAAACAAAGTAGGAATGAATTTGGAGCATTTGTCAGTGATATCTGGTGCATATTATACATAAAATGTCTTGTTTCAAGTTTGAAACGGAAAATATGTAGTTTATACGATATTCCGCATATAATACTGATGATAAATTACTAAATTGATGAGGTCCTGTGGAGATTTGAAAGTTTGCAGTGTTGGTGGGACAATCTACCTACTTACTGGTCTTCCTGGTATTCCCCTGGTGGAATGGTGTTTCTCGTTAAGGTGTTATTGACTGCTACAGTGAGTCGATTGGATCGACTATAGTCAAGATAGTGTGTTACTTCAACTTCAAACGGTAAATGCCCTCCTTCATGACTTGTAATTTCATTTCCATTCAGCCACTGTGAGAAAAGCGACCAAAATGTACTTTATATTATTTTGTGAAGTCAACACCACTGAACAGTCATAGTCGAAATTAGTTTGGTTAAAATACAAGGTAACCTAACTATTAGGATTGAATGTCCCACCCCACGCCCCACATTATAAGCACAAATAGGCGTGTATTGATGTCAACTTGAATTCCTCTTTATTTAAACTATGAAAAGGACATTACATTTAAGGACTTCTGTTGTATGATATTCATGGATGGAACAGTAGATATGAGACCTTCCCGATTGTGCGTACCTACCACTTTACAGTAATAGTTGACACTCCCGAATCTTAACACGATGCGCAAGCTGTCAACTTGAGCAGACCATGCCATTGGTATGTAGAACTGTCGCTCGTACCAAACCCAGCCCACGAAATTCTTTAGCCATCTCATTTCAGTGATATCATTAAAGCTGGACGGGACTGGCATTGGAATGACATCACCAGTCTGATGAGATTATCATTGACATCATCATCATCATCATCATCTAGTTATTAATATCATTATCATCCCAATGTCATCACAATTATCAGCCAGACGCCTCGCGTACAGACCTCATAACTATGTCTTACGCGACCCGGTCATAATGCACTTGTAAGTCTCTTTGAGAGCTAGGGATTTATTACATGTATTAAAGCTAATTAAGAGGATTATCTTGATTGACCTTACAAAAAGAACTTATGAAATATTTATGCTACAGGTGTCGCTTCCACTTGAAAAAGCTGTAGCGGGTTCAGATTAATTGAATTCTTTTCTTAATGAATGACATAATAATGCCTGGATAAACTGGCTTGTAAAGTAAGTCATTGTGAAATACTTCTCACTGAGCCGTTGTCGCATGCAATTTGTTCTTCTGCAAGAAAAACTGCAAATAAACTCCACTTAAAAGTCGCATCCTTAGTTAACTATTGTAGTATAGCAGATAGCACTCTTGAAGGTAAAAACGTTTTCTGAATTACTACTAATAATAAATATATACCTGATGTAAGGCCTGATCAAACCACCTCAGTTCGAATCCATCTGATCGATGCAAAGAAGTGTCAGCTCGAAAGCTCCAGATTCCGTCCAGCGACTTGATTTGTCGGGATTCTGAGTCACGTGGGTATAGKATTCCTTTACCGAGTAATCCCTGGATGAGCCGGGCATTTACAAGCAAGAAGGTAAACGATGAAAATAAAAAATCTATGATTGTAAATCTTGATATTATCATGGTGATTTAGTGTTTTTTTTGATGTCAGGTCTCTTCATTGTTTCTTCTGGTATCACCTGTAAAACCAGTACACAGGGAGCCCACAAAAAACTTCATTAATTCAGTTGCATGTCACCTTTTATATTATGGGACGAGTATTATAGCGATCAAACATTCACAATAGGAACATTCCGTGTTGAATGCTATTTGACTAATAGTGTTCTAGATTTATTCTGATAAGGTTCCCAAAATGTGATTGTTTGAAGGGTTCATTAAAAATGGAAGGAGGCTTTTGACCCCATCAATTGAAGGAGATGACATTGTTTCTTCTAAGACATGGTACTAAAACTAACGTGCAACATTGTTAGACTCAATACGAAATTACACCTTCGATTGGCACTGACATTTTTTAAAGGCCACAGAACTGGCAGATTTAATTCTTAAGGTTGACAGTGTCTAACTTCAAGTAGTGTGTTTGCGTTTTTCATTGCTGTAGGTCCATGTCTTGAAGTGAGTTTACTGCAAAGCAAACAATCCGATGGAGGTTGAAATTACCTCGAATTCTTGAAACAAAAGAACGTTTGATTGCACTAGTCTGTAGGGTCAGACCCTCTTAGCCWCGAAACAAGTCAACTGAAAACGTAATGATAATAATTGTACAATTTTAGTAAGAAACAGAAGAAGAGTAGAATCCAAATTAACTAAATTGCAGAAAGTAGATAGACACGTGCGGAACTTTATCTGTTTGACTGAATCGAGACTGAAGAAGATGACCAGTCATGATTTTTTTACGCTACAAGCATAATGTGCTATCCTTCTAACATAGCTGATCCMACAATCCTTTTGAACAAAAATGTCCAACATTAATGATAATGAAAGTGGGCATATTAATGAAGTCTGCCCCTCATATCCATCAAACTGCAGTAACACACCCACAATCAATTTAGAGCTTAGCTGATGGGAACTTAGGTGTTAGCCGAGATTATTCTATAAGYCAATTTCGAAATAAATTTGTGCTAAGTTAACTAAAATTCATTGTCCGTTTCTTGATGTCAGCATGTAGCAAAGTGAGAGTGTATATTTAGCGATGAACGTATAACAGGTTAATCTAAAAAAAAATATGCAGTTTCTGCAGTTTTTATATATTTTTAGAGAGACAATAAATCTTACAATTGCGCATGCACCGACTGTAAATATCACCCATCTTTGCTCATTACTATCCATGCCACTATCTACTTTGACTTCGGAACATGTGAGATTCAGCGCATGAATCGCATCGACAGTCAGACCGATTTAAATTTTGTGCCCCACCCCTTTTAATTGATTTTATTTTAACTATGTAACATGTATAATCCACTAATAAACGTGCTTTGAGGGTCTATCGTATTCAATAACTCTATTTTAGTTGTGACTGCTTTCTTTGTTGGTAATCATCATGAATCATGTTGAGTCGATTCGTTGAGTCTTGAACGACTAATTAAAACTGAAGCAGATATTGCGCTTTATAAAACAATTGATTTTTTCCAAGTAGCCAGGTGTAATGATAGTAGCCTAACAGTAGTAATGCTACTGGAGAGATGAATTTCTTTCTGCGAAAAAAAAATCACAATAAAAACAGGCAAACTCAAAAATTCATGATGATAATAAGATTGAATAATTCGTATTTGATCAGTCATATTATTTACGATTTATTGCTGTAACGGGAAATTCTCCATAATGGCGATGTTCACAGTGTAACAATGATGATCGTTAAATCATCACTATATGCTAAAATAGACATGTTAGTGCTTGATTTGAGTGGGATGACGTGAATCTACAAGAGAATAACAATCAACTCCACATATCATAAACTTACTATTTTTACAACGTAGTGATTAAACCATGRCTGAGAAAGGTATTCCAGCAATAAGCACAGTGGTATCTCATAAAACGCGCAGTCGGCAAATATTAAACGACGAATAGTAAATTCATTTTCGCTTTATTTGCATGGGCTTTATAAATAATATTAAAATTGAATCATTGAAATTTTTCTTAAGCATAGGTAGTCACGCACCACTTAGACATTAGTCACAGTCAAATGGCTGAGGAAAGCCAAAGAAAAATTATTAGTTAACTCGCACGACAAAAAATAATTAAATGAATAAATTATATTAATAAAAGTATGACGTTGATTTTAAATAGAATTTTACTAAAAAAATTGCCAGCTCTTGTATTATAGACAAACAAAAGAAACAGCAGATGAATTGAGAGATTTCAACAAAACACGACAATTTTAGCAAGATAATCCTTTGAAGTTGTTTTGAAAGCCAATGATATCACAGCTTGTATAGCTTACAATAATTTAAAAGGAAATAGCGAAGCCCTAGACAATTTCACTAATTTTTCCTTTCTTCCCTGGCAACTCTAATAATAAGACGTAGCCATCTTGAATTCAATATGAGATGATGGTCACGTGAGTAAATTATCTCTCGACCAATCAGGTTTAGGCAATATGCAATCAAGGGTTTGCAAATGGGAATGTCGAGAGGATCAAGCAGCGAAAATGGCGGACCTGGAAGCAGTTTTAGCCGATGTTTCCTACCTTATGGCGATGGAAAAATCGAAATCCACGCCAGCAGCAAGAGCCAGCAAGAAAATAGTTCTCCCTGACCCATCGTATGTAGAAATTTTCGTGTTAGCGACCCGGAAAAGCGCTATGTTTACTCGCGAGTCGGGTTAGATGTCTTTGGCTTACCTTTCTTGTGTCTTTCTTGGTTTTCATTTAGAGTTTACCATGTAATGCATAAATATCTCAGCGAAAGGAACGAAGTAACTTTTGACAAAATTTTCGACCAGAGATTAGGTGGGTATATTATTGTGAGTTATTGTTTCTGGAACACAAAGCGACCTTCATTTGCTGTTGTAACTATCAGGTTTTTACACAACATCACCCTGACTTGGCGTTTATATTTCAAAGCAAAGGTTATACATAGCATATGATTTGAGCATTAACATGAGTCTTTTGACGATGTTTTATAGGTTATCTACAGTTTAAGGAATTTTGCCAAACGCAGTGCGACGAACCAGTGCCTCAATTGTATTTCTACGAAGATGTGAGTACATTTCTATTTTTCAGCACAGTACAACACTTCGCGTTTTATGACTGTACAGCCGCAATTCTGTATAATTTCTAACCTAAATGTAAATGTCTATATTGGGTTGGGCAGTTCAAAATAGCGTCTACTCCAGTATTCATTCGGTATAAAACAGCATGGTCTCGAAGTGTTGGCATTACTATAATTATATTTTGTGTCTCTGAAAGGCTCGATTTTCACGTTTCGAGCGAGATCGATGTTATCCACTATAATACACAACAAAACAACAATCCAAAGAGCTGACTTTAAGACGCCTAAATGTATTTCTCGGGGGTCTAAAAGTGAACTTTTTGTTCCTTTAGTGTAATTTCCGTTGATAGTTTCTTCTGGTTCATTGTAATTACACTTATTTTTTTAGTGACTAATTTTACTTCGGATCACGATCGTCCAACTTTAGGGCCAACAATATTGTATGCCGCTAACTCGGAAAACGGAAAACTGAGCAAACGATGAATTATATATGCAGTATGGGGAACAGTCGAGCATACCTTGTATAACTGGAAGATTTAGCTTTAGTGTTTATACTATAAGATGAGTTCTGTATCTGCCTGCACAGTGAGAAAGCCATTCGAATGTACAGTAATGACAGATCGGGCGTACTTGGAACTTTACRGATCGATCGAKACACAAATCTAGATTTATATTTTCACCTTATTGTGGTTAGTGTTACTACTAGATGGCAGGGAAAAACACAGCTCGTACAAATCAACCATGCGGATATAGTCAGTACAGATGTGGAAATCTCACAGTTTGGTCGGCCAAGCAGAAAATCGAAAGGCCGCAGCAGTATTTTAATATTTTAACTTCTTGTGATCACTTGGAACATCTAAGCAAATGATTTCTCGTTAAAAGTCTAAGTCAATACTCAACTTTCATTTCAGTAAATTTTATCAATCTTTCACTGCAAAAACTCATCGGCTCTTAGAATAGAATTACATGAAAAATACCAGTCAGAGCAATGTGCACTGTGAGTATTTCTTCTTGGAAATGTTGCCTATCGAAAATTAAAGACCTCCTAGATCTTTAGACTTGCTTTAATATTTATGTATTAAAACTTATGGGTACAAATATCTTAAAGTTATTTATTATAACCAAGATTTCTTTTCGAAGACCACAAGAATTCCTCAAGGAAAATACAATAAATATACGATAAAACATAACCATTGTGAAATAAATATAGACTAGAGCAGTATTGGGAAACAGAAGTGCATTTAGATTTTAATAATTCATTGTTTATTAAGAGTTTTGTTTTTATGCATATCAAACGTCTAAACTGGAAGTTTTTTTACGAATAAGTAATATTTTATGAGAATCGTGTAAGCCATATATTTTTAAAGGGTGGAACAAGGATTTAAACTATTGATTGAGAAAAAAGTGATCTAAGTTTCTTCGGTAAAATGTCTTAGAAAAAAATTAAAGAAAGAAAGTAATACTGCTGCCTTCATTGTGTGCAGGTGTTTGCATGATATTGGATCCTGTTGAAATAACATTATATTGAAATGTTTTAACAATGAATACAGAAAAAGCCTCTAGAATTATCATATGGTAATTCTGCAAAACATTGGGAATGTCTTGTCAGTCAGTCTGTTACTCTGAATATAGTTTCAATTTCACACTTTTATCATTTATTTAAAGTTAGTGATTTCATAATAAGCACTGTAGCACACCTATAGTTGTTTTTAGTTTAGCTTGATAAGTTGTGTGACTGGTCTATTGTGTAAATGCATTGAAAGTTTGAGAGGAAGTATGAGATGTAACTACTAATAAAAACCATTGGTAAGTACATAAGTTGATTCCAAGTAGCTGTGGCCATTTACTCTTTTACTGTGTGAAGATGAGCCACTGGTGAGATGTGTTTAATATGTGTTTATTAAAAATTACAGGTAGCTTAGAACCGCATTCAGTTATCTACTTTGCATTCTTAATTAGATATTATTAGCATCATTGCTTCYAAGTCTTGTGCAAATAGAATTGCTACACTTGGTGGTTTTCTCATTTTTGTATGACTTGTACTTATTTTTCTAGTGAAGAAAAAAGGTGAGAAAATATCTGTTAAAATTTTAAATGAATATTAATCTATCAGTAGGCAATATCAAAACCAATTTGATTGAAGTTGTTCGTTTATTTGCAAAATGAAAGTTCTTTTAGATTAGTTAAATAAAAGTGTCTGATTTGCTAAGATACCAATTTTCTTATCTTGACATGACAGCAGGCAACAATTTCTTTTTTACTTAACATCACATTGACCAAGACCTTGACTTCAATCAAAATATATATTGTGTAGAGATTGAAAAGAAAAGTCTTGTGCTTAATTAGTTATTATTATTTGATAAACAATACAGAATCAATTAGATTCCAGTACTGAGTGATATGAAAAATTATAAAGACTTTGGAGGCTGTTATCTGCTGCAGTATAACGCCTATATACACCTCAGCCAGCACAATTCTTTTCATATCATATTCAGTATCAACCAAGAATTTTAACTTTTTTCACAAGTTTATTTGATGTCATTAAGTCCAATAACCAACTAAAAAATGTTGATGCAATATTATGAAAAAAGTAGTTATGAAAAGATATTCTCTGGATATATGATACCATGGTATCACTTATTGACAAAACCAAAACTAATGTTAGTTGAATGTCAACATCATATGTGTTACTTTTTATCTTTGCAAAGAATCTAGAGCACATGTACATATGGTATTTTAGATGTGTTGAATGTATAGACAGAAAGTTAAAGTTAATATTACTGTTATCCATGAATTCATGCATTGTGGTTAAATACTATGCACTGGAATATCATTTAGATAGTAAACTGTGATGTATTATGATAATCAAGAGTTGCAAGAGCATTCAATTTTCAAATTGATTCAAAGAGAGAGACAGAAGATAGTATTAGAAGAAATGAACATGTACACTAATACTCTGGTTATTTGTATGGATCATATTGATTTTATTTATTATGCTATAGAATATTGAATATTGTACAATTGCATCACAAACTGGTAAGCAAGAGAATAATGTTTTCATATAAACGAATCCTTTGATATCTTTAACATGTGAAAGGTATTGAACCTTACACACTGATGGAATTTCATCAATTTGTTCACTTGAATAACTTTGAAAAATAAAAGTTCAAATTGGCTAGTAATCGAAAGATATAAATGTGAGTTTGCTTGAAAGGTTTACTTTGGGGTTTTAATTAGTTTCTGTTTTTAAATCATATTAGATTACTGAAAGTGTTTCATGTTCATATGTTAATTGGTTTTTGGTGTATGCTCCAGACTATTAGTCACTTTTGTCATATTCTATAATAAAGCTTGACAAACAGAAAGGAAATAAGAATATAAAAGTCTTGCCTAAATATGAAAAGAGAAACCAAAGGTGATCTTAGACCCTGCTTTCAAATTTGATTTTTCTTTTTGTATAAGGAAATAAAATATTAAGTGATGTTAGTTAAGTTATACTTAGTTAACTCTTTTATGATTAAAAGTCATTTAAAGACCAAACATGCAATGAAACTAAAGGTAATTATAAACATTCAGTAGTCAGTGTGGTCGAGGGGGATGTTGATCAGAAATCGCAAAGACTTTTTACATTTTASCCTTTTTAATGTTTCCTTGATATTGACAAATCATTAACTTATTTTTATGAATCACTGATTCCAAATAATTAGGCTACCTGGAATTGTGATTGGCAATTTGCAGTATAACAAAGCATTATGGGAGTTACAGCCCTTGCACTAAAACGGTCTGCTCCTGTTTTTGCTTTTTCTGTGCATAAATAAAATTAGTTGTCATGTAAAACAGGAAATGTAAAGTAAAAGTATAGGTTAATGTAATATAGTATATGTAGTATGTTCCAGTAGCTAAGTATAGTGTTGGTATGGAATAATGCATTTTATCATATAATTATCTATGAAATACCTATATTTCTCCATTACGTAAAATTGATATTTTCACAGAATATTACATGGACGCTTGGAGATATGAATTTTATCTTCTCGCGTTCGCTACGCTCACTCGTGAGAGATCTTTTCAACACTCGAAGATAAAATCTGTATCTCCTCGTGCACATGTAATGTCCTAGATATATATAATAAGCACAGGCACAGTTATATAGGAACAAATGATGAGGTTAATGGATAACCTTACATACTTTCCTTATATGGTATATGAGATCAGAGGGCTCAAAATAACGGCCGGTCAACAGACAATGACCGACCAAAATTCGRACTTGTCAAACTTCATTTTGGCCGGTCATCTTGATAGGTCACGTCTATAACATGAAATAAAAAACTATCAAAATAACCACTACCGCGGATTCAGGTCGACTGTTTATATAACGAACGATTCTCAGGCGTTGATATTCAGCTATGATATCAGACAGATATAAGTTCTATATAAAACACTGTTTAATGAATACAAAGAAAGAAGAATACAAAGAAAGGAAATAGAGGAAATAGTCCATGAAACGCCGAAGCCGTAGAATAATATTCAGTATTTCCGATATGATGTTTCGAAGCTTTCGCTCTCATTTTTTGTGGAATGCATTTCACCAAGAAGAAAAAATCAATATCCTTAGTCTAACTTGATAAAGGTAATAAAGAAATTACACTTCTTTCGCTTTTTTTCTTGCTTTTTATGAAGGATTTTCATGCTGCTGAACATACAGTGTGAATGTGCTAAATTTTTATTCAAATGAAACCCTCAAAAATCAGAAAGGTTTTTGTTCTTTTTTGTCTTTTAATTCGATTGTAATGCTAATAAACTATGCTTTTTGTATGAATAATATATGTTTTAATTCAAGTTTTTATGCTTCATTTTTTTTTTCATTTTTGTCCAGTCAAAACTGGAATATGTCCAGTCAAAATTGTATTTGAATGGTCATCATGTCCGGTCACTGARCGGCCGTTATTTTGAGCCCTGGAGATACAACTAATACAGTCTAGAACATTTGCCATTTTGTGTCATTAACAATGAATAGGTGCATCTGGTAATTTCATAGTGTGCAAACTAGGACACAATGTTTAATGTTACAAGAGTCATCCAATGTGTATTAATGTGTAGCATTATTATCCTGACTTGTCAGTCAAATCAGTTAAACAATTAAATATCCATTCTCCCTCCATGGAGGGATTTTATAGTCTACATTCATTGTGTTTTCTGAATGCAACTCCAAATGCCTCAGCCTAGCATCACTTCTCAAACAATATTGATCATTACATTTCATATTGATATGATTATTAATTAAAAAATAATAATAATAATATTTTTCCTTTCGGCTTATCCCAATTCACACACTCTATGCATGTATCATAAATAATGTAGCACTAATTGAATGAAGTAACTTTCTTTTTCTAAAGATAAAAGAATATGAAAAGTGTCAATCCCAAGAAGATAGACTCAAGCTGGCAAGGGAGATTTTTGACAAGTACATCATGTGTGAACTACTTTCTTGCTCCCATGTAAGTAATGAGTGGCTGTCAATTCATGTCTACTCTCAGCATCCTATTCTTCTATGTTCAAGTAGTCTTGGAAAATGTCTATAAGTCAAAAAGACTACATTCAATAGCAGCTTTGAATTACAGATGGCATTGATGAGAAGAAAATGACATCTTAAAAATAGTAGTGTTTGCACATTACTGCCTACATGCATGTATATTTTTTACTGGTCATTTACATAAATTGCTCATTTGCTAGAAATAGCTGTTATTAATAATATACTCTAATGTACTTTTATATTTTTTATTTTTATATAATGTATTTTTATTATTGCAGTCCTTCTCACACTCTGCTCTTAAACATGTGCAAGAATATATTACCAAAAAGGAACTGCCATCAACACTATTTGAGGTATGTTTACTTATTATTTTATTTATTGTTTGAAATTGTTTTGAAGTTATAACGAGTTACAGGTATCCTATGGACATCTCAAATATTTCAAATGATTACGTGGTCATTATAGACACTAGAAAAAGATAAGCCAAGAGATGTATATTAATTAATTATGTATTCTTTTTTTGGCTAATTGAAACTTCTCATTTTTAGCCCTACATGCTTGAAATCAGAGACAGTCTCAGAGGCTCAATTTTCCAGAAATTTCTGAAAAGGTAATTTACAGATGAATGCACATTTGACACATTTTTTGTTGTTGTCTTAATTAATGAAGTCATAATTCATAATAATTATATGAAGACAGTCTATTGGTATAGGGATTTTGATCATCAGAGGGGAGAGGAATGGCATCAAGATGAAAAACAAAAGCACAAACAACATGAATTAATTTTATAAACAGAGACATGAGTAAATAGATAATTAATAAATGTGCTTTATGTCATTATTTTGTGATAGAGGAATGCTGATATTTTGATTGCATTTTGGTACTGAATATCTATTAAGTAGCTACATGTATTTAGTAGGTTGACTATAGCTCCACTAACTACAATTCAAATTGGTAACAGCTGTAATAGGCCTTTAGCATGAAATGGTCACATGGTACTAAATCTAATCGTTCTGACAAAATGTAAACAACATCAAAAACAAAAYGAACTCAGTCCGTTAAACTTGACTTTTCTTTGTTTTGAACATCTCAATGGTTATTTTTCTATCTAGTATGGTGGATTTAGTACCATGTGACATTTCATGCAAAAGGCATATTAAAACAATGGATTATGTTAATTTTTTTTACAGTGACAGATGGGTGAGGTTTTGTCAGTGGAAGAACTTAGAGTTGAATATTAATGTAAGTACAAATGTACAATTTCAATATCCCTCTCAGGAGGGAATGAAAAAAAGTGCCAACTTAATCTACTATGCAAGCAGAGGAATTTTTCACACCCCTTTAAGAAGAAAGTAAAAATACCTCTGCCGCAGGATGGCTATTTCTTTTGATGTTGCCATCTCAAAAATCTTGGGGGTAAACAATGGTATCACTCCACGTGACTAAACCAGTCATTTACCAGTTTTTTTCTGATATGCACACAGGGGGCCCAGGCTCAACAGTTGTGTTGCTTTCACGGCGGTGTCAAAGTATTAATTGCGGGGTTCGAGGTTCGAGCCCTCATGAAGCCGTAAATTTTTTCTACTTCATTTCTTGAGACTTTTCAAGACTTTTTCTTTCTTTTCTTTTTTCTTTAATAAGTATAAACAGCTTTATGAATAAAGATTGATTTTTAAAGCCAGAATAATATTTTTTCCCCCTTGTAAATAAAAATAGACAAGGGAGGTAAGTCAGCGATCAAAATTTGCCAAGGCGGCTCTAAACTACGGCCTCTAAGACACCTTTAACTTCATCCAATGGACATCAAACTCCGTTCAGCTTTCGATCAATACCTATTCTCACTTGCCACCAATGTTCAGCCTCCAGTTAAAAATATTTTCCAAGATATTTTAGTCAAAAGATCAAAATACTCCAGCCTACCGATGGACGGTACTTTCAACTCGTGCACCAACGGAAATATATACAATATATGCGATATTGACAGGGCATCAATCAATGTCATAGATAACATCCAATCATATCATCGTTTAAATGCGCCTGCTCAACAGAGGTATTTTCTGCTCAGCAGAGGTATTTTCCTTTTCTTCGTAAAAGAGGGTGGAAAAATCCTCTGCTCGCAGGGTGAATACCATTTACCATTTATACAATACAATTGGGCATATCATAGTATGTCCTTTATGGTTTACAAGGAAGGGAAYCTATTAGTAAGAGTTAAGATTTATAAAATGACAATATTTTCATTTTGCAGCTTACAATGAATGACTTCAGTGTACATAGAATTATTGGGAGAGGTGGATTTGGTGAAGTCTATGGCTGCAGAAAAGCTGACACAGGAAAAATGTAAGGCAGGGGCCATACGTATTGTGAATAAATCCTTATCAAGTAGATCAAATCAATACAAAATTGTGCACCTGCCCCCTGAAGGATAAACTCTTCAGAAAATTTGACATTTTAAAAAAATGTATATATCATATACAAAAAGAACTTAATTGTATAAGAGAGTTATGTTAAGAATTTTGAYGGTGCTGTCTATYTTCTGGTGAAGTCCTGTACAGTTAAGACATCCAACCATGTCGGTRAATTTCTGAACAGCTTTGATATTAACCATTAGGTACATGTAGTAGAAAGAGTGAACTTTGACACTTTGCATAGTAATGCAATATTAATGCTGAAGTGTTTCTATGTGGCTTGCTCATTTGGCCATAATACTTTCACAATAGTAAATTGCTTGATTGTTGCTCTTGTTTTTTTCTGTGAAGAATAGTTATTCAACCCTGTGTTTCTGTGAAAAATAGTTGTTTAACCCTGTGTTACTGTATTTTCTTATCAGGTATGCTATGAAATGCTTAGACAAAAAGAGAATTAAATTAAAACAAGGAGAAACTTTAGCCTTAAATGAACGAATTATGTTATCAATGGTAAGAAAATGATTTCATTTCTATTTGTTGAGCTTAGTGAGAATATATTAAGAGGTTTTATTTATATACAGTGTACAAACATTTACATTGACCTAATATCCATGTTTGTGTCTAGGTAAACAGTCCCTTTATTGTATGCATGACATATGCATTCCAAACTCCTGACAAACTGTGTTTTGTATTGGATTTAATGAATGGTAGGTTTTATCTATAGTAATGTGGCACCTTATCGTTAATTGTGATATTTTCAATTAAAAATTATTTAGAATACTGAACCTCAATATTATTTAGGTTCAGTATTCTAAATAATTTTTAATTGAAAATTAGTGTCACTTGGTTAAAGTGACACTATTTTAAATAATTTTTAATTGAAAATTAGTTAAACCAAGTGACACTAAACAAATTGATAGAAYATGWTCATTATTAYCTATTCTTAAAATTCCAGTACAAAGTGGAAATAGCCTCGTTCCTAGAATAGAAAACATTGTGAATAGACTATAAATTTACACAAACTGTTGAGGCTAGCCACGTGTACTTTTGAGAATAMTGAATTGAAATGAACCTGAAAATACTCTCATCTTGGTAGTTCTTTTGTTCAACATAATAATAATATCAGGTTTTGCATTACAGCAAAATAATTAACATTTTTCTTATGTCCATCCATCCCTTTTATTTTTCTGTTTTTCATCACAATTTATTATATAAGGCTTGTGTTTTGATTGTATGATTGTAGGGATGACTGATTTTAATGCAATATAACTTTTATCTATTATTACTTTTAAGTTTTTTCATTACAGTTTATTATATTTAGACTAGTCTCCTCTATTAACTATAATTTAGACTTTTGCTTTGATTTTATTTTGTAAGGACAAGCAATTAGTTAATCTAGTTTTTATTCAAACCATTAGGTGGAGATCTTCACTATCATCTGTCACAGCATGGGGTGTTTGACGAAAATGCTGTAAGTTATTACTAGAATTTAATATTACCAATTTCAATTACCTAACGTTTGTATATATGCAAAGCTTACTTATAAGTCCTTTTCTTTGTAGGTTAAATTTTATGCATCTGAAATCATTCTTGGTCTACAACACATGCACGAACGAAAGATTTGTTATAGAGATTTAAAAGTAAGAGTTTACTGACTTGATGTTAGTCTACAGTATTTATATTATGACTTGTTTGTTCTGTAAAGTTTAAGCTRGTCTCCATTAACCATCACGCACTAGACGTCTTGCATTGTCTATCATGAAGCTTGTATATGTCAAAGTCTAAATAACAAGCTTAGCTGATCATGAAGTTTGTATATGTCAAAGTCTACATAACAAGCTTAGCTGATAAGTTTTCAATATGTCGCAGCCACTCTTTCTTTCAAAAAGCGGCTATATACTAAGTATGACGAACATTTGGGCGCTGCTTCCAGTTTTAATAATAAGACTAACCCCAACTCTTTGCTTTGCTTCTTTTAGCCCGCTAACATCTTACTGGATGAACATGGCCATGTTCGGATATCAGACTTGGGTTTGGCTTGTGACTTTTCAAAAAAGAAACCACATGCTAGTGTGTAAGTACTTAAATATCTTATTGCATAAAAGGCCGAAGAAAAACTAGAAAGTATGGCCTACNTGATAACACACGAAAGCCAACCAATCAAAACATCTGATTTTACTGAAAAGTTGTATAAAAAAAACTGGTATATGTAAACCCTTTTTCTTGGCGTATCTGRTTATTTCCAAAGGAAGTAACAAAAACTATAGAAGTTTTTAAGCTTAAAAGAATATTCTAAAAATATTTCGGAAAATATCGCAGGTAGACCAGGCAACATCTATTAAATGAGTGTTTTATYCCTTGCAGGGGTACACATGGATACATGGCACCCGAAGTTCTAAAGAAAGGCGAAGCTTACGACTCCTGTGCTGATTGGTTTTCACTTGGTTGTATGCTCTTTAAGCTGCTTGTTGGGTAAGTTTGCAGTATCAAGGTACAAATTTCATCCTGMGCATTTTCACGCGAGSATTGCCAATCATAGYGCAACATGTTGTCTTGTGAGGTMTTGATTATTGTTGTTCTTTACAGACACAGYCCATTCCGACAGCACAAAACAAAAGATAAACACGAGATCGATCGACTTACTCTTACTTACGTAAGTATCGCTTCAAAATACGTTCAACTCACGTAGCCACTTGAACCTCCGCCGGGATACGATAAACAAACTTATCTGCCTTGTCTCCGCAGTATTGTTGTTGTTCAAGTTTTACCATGTTCATCTAACTTGCCACAAAAACGTTTGTTGCAAACTGAGAAAACTTGTTGCGCAAAGTAGAATGTAGATCAAATGCACATGTAACAAATTTGTTCAGTGCTCGTGTTTCATAATCGTGATGATTTGGATTGTTTTATCCAGTCTTTTATCCAGTTGTACAACTCCATTGACGTAACAAATGTTTGCGTTACAAGCTGGATCGATTGCAAGTTAGTGCTGTTGTGCACTTTGTCTTCCACAAGGCTATAATCAATAATGAATGATACATTGTATCTGTAAAATAAGGTACTAATTAGTATCTTTTTTTCTAAAGGACGTTGAATATCCCGACTCGTTTTCAGAGGAAATGAAAGAACTTCTCTCCGGGCTTCTTAATCGAGATGTATCAAATCGACTTGGATGTATGGGAAGAGGGTAAGCCGTGTTCGTTTTGATCTGATTGTGTGTCACTGAATTATCATTGTTGTTATCTCTGTTATCATTGATATTGCTTTTGTTGTTTTTAAAAGTGTTTACAATAGATCCATCAAACATTTTATAACACATTRTATACATGATGATTAGGTTCATTGTAGTAGCTGTATAAGGGATATGGTTAGTTGTGTACCAGTGGCTCTTCGAAAATACGGAGGTTTTTGATTGGAGGCCGAGAGAGATTGGCTCGAGCACTTTCTCAACCTAATATTGTATTGATTGATCAATTTATCATTATCTTTTTCGTCGTGGTAATTAATTTATTGATWAGCTGATTCTCTGAATTTGATTTAAATGGTTTATCAAGCAATTCGTTTTATTTATTTATTTATTTTTTCATTTTGATTGTAGTGCTCACGAAGTCAGAGAACTGCCATTCTTTTCTGATATAGACTGGAAACTTGTCGAATATACCAAGGTAAGCAAACTTTTATAATCAMTTCCAGAAGTAATTTGTAATGTTCTTAATCGTGACGATTGCTAGATCATGATAAATTGGTTAAAAGCTAATGCCTAGACATGCTGATGTAAAAGCGCGCAATGCTGAATCGAGAACTGACATCAAAGCAGCGTTTTGCTCATTTTTATGTTACATTCTACAGTACCCACCACCACTWATCCCACCAAGGGGTGAAGTAAACGCAGCCGATGCATTCGACATTGGTTCATTCGATGAAGACGACGTCAAAGGAATTAAGGTAGCAAATACTCCCACTATTGTATATATTTTCATATTTTTATTTATTATTTTATTTATTTACCAATACAGCCTGCCCCTCACAAACGAGGATTAATGGCTGGGGGGTCAGTATAACAAATTTAGTTTACAGGGAGGTGATTTACACAGATTAATTTTTCTTTAAAAACAGTCAGTGAGGACAGATTATTGAACATAGAGGCAGGCAGATTGTTCCATTGAATTATTGTTCTTGGAAAAAAAGATAAGTGTTCAGATGTTGTTGGGGTGCACAAGGGGATGAACGATTCAGTATGAGTGCGCCGAGTCTGTCGAGTTACAGGGCGCAGTAGACCTTTTGTGTCGACAGAGAGGATTTCCTGGAATGAAATTAATTGTTACGGAGRCATCTTCTTTTTTTAATAAATCCTGATATTATTTTGATAATTTAGATGTCAGATCAGGATCAAGAAATCTACAAAGACTTTAATCTGGTTGTGTCAGAAAGATGGCAAGCAGAAATCGCAGGTAACGGCGACTCATTATTTTACATTTAATCTCCTTCCCAATATCATCATGCGAGCGCGTTCTGATTTGTGGKTGCGTGAAGCCCAGTTCTACAAGAACTGTTCGGTCCACGGTAKTACAGTTGGAATGGTGAACATCGGTCCTGACKTAGAGACCACTTTCCTTTGCATGACATCCTATCATAAGAATATATGCCATAATATCTTGCCAAAAGGAAATTCATTACATTTGTACTTGTATTTCTTGCAGTTAATGTTTAACRTGTACACCGGCRTAAAACAATGTCTTTTKTTCCTACAGAAACTGTTTTTGAGGTTGTCAATCAAGAGCATGACAAAATTGAGGCAAAAAAGAAAACAAAACATCAGAATTCCATTACAGGTAGTAAGTAAAAGGATCAATATTTCAATAAGAAGTCGCATTAACTCTCTAACTCAACTAATAATCTGCTTTTAATCCTTGCTTCAAGAAATGGCTGAAGATGGTGATCGTCTGTTGGAAGGGTATTTATATAAACTTGGTGGTCCATTCATGAACAGTTGGCAAAAGAGATACTTTCACTTATTTCCAAACAGACTAGAATGGCGGGGAGATCAAATGGTAAATATTTACATCAGAACTGTGTCAATTTATGGTTTCATTGCTATGTATGGCCTTATGTAGTGCAAGAAATGATGGATGTTGTGCTGGAGGAGCATAGT